GCTGTTTCTCCTTCCTGTCACCTCAGTTGGCCCTGATCGTAGCACAGCAGCGAGACAGAGCGAACAACTTGTCTGGCATCTTTCTAACTGCTCTTGATGAAGGTCTGAAAAAGATTTATGCTGCAGCTAAAAGAAACAAAGGTACTGTTAAGCACTCAATATTGAAGACATGAAACAAAAAGTAAACCATCTTTTTCATGTGGTGTAAATAGTGAAATTGAAAAACCAGACATTGTTAGAGTGAAGTCATCTGTGACTAAAAGGACGTCTCACTTACCAATAACATGCTGATAATTACGTCTCTGTAAGGACTGACAGAAAGGAGGGGCACGATGAAAGCAGAAGAGTCTTATTGTTAGACTTGACTGACGAGATGTACGGGACATCTTGTCGGCGTCACTTTGTGCACACAGAAAAATTCTTGCAACCGCAATTAACTGGAGAACAATACATGAGAAGACTTTGATTTCCCTCAGGTCATTCTACACAATAGATGAACACCAGCGCCTAAAGTTACTTGCTTGCTTCTGTTGTCGTAGTATTTCATGTAAGTGACATAAACTCTTCTGAACTCTGTCACAGTCGTCTCTCCCTCAGTTCATTGCCCAACCAGAAATGTCGTTAGTATGCGTAACTAAACTATGGTAAAGTTTCCTCCATCTTACCAACGCCCAAATCTCCCTGCTTCTCTCCCAGCTCCGGCTCAAATCCCCCTGCATGAAGCTTTTCGGGTACTCCGGCAGATTTTCGCTTGCTCAAGAGTTGTTGCTCTAACTACAAATTGTACTTTCTGATAGAGTATAGAGGTTGATCATGAGAGAGACCTGCCCCTCCTATGTCACCCACCCGATTTTTGGTCTGGTGTGGCACAGTGCATTCTGGTAGTCTTTCTACTGCACAGACAGCCCAGTTTTATGAAAAGACCATTTTTCCAGCTGTGAAATACTTCTTTAACAGTCATGCTAACCCTCACTGAACTATCTTTGCGTTTTCCCCAAATAGCAAGTGTCCATCTTCCTCGCATCGGCCACTCCACCAAAGGCTTCAACTGGTACGGTACAGAGAGGCTCATCAGGAAACACCTGGCCTCCAGAGGCATCCCCACGTTCATGTATCTTTTACAATCTAAAAAGTAATGTTTCTCAGAATCTATCTGAAAGGTTGGAGTCATTTTCCCTTAACTTGCCTCACAGATACTATCACAGCAGAGCAGCAAAGAAAACAGCTCCACCTCAGGCATCCACCTTTGCGACCTCAGCGTCAACATCCTCCCCCGAACCGCAGCCACACAACCCAGACAGGCTGAGTGAAGACGAGACAGAAGCAGAAACCACCGGCCCCTCGACTTCTCTCCAGAGTTGCGGCCCTGCAGAGCTCCCTGAATTCATGAGGGGAGTCCGTGTGTTTTTCTACAACCTGTCTGCAACAGAGAGGAAGAGGCTGGCCCGCTACCTCATCACATATCCTTTCAGACTGGGCGTCTTGATCACAATAATGTGCTGTTGTAAGATAATTCGTGATATATGTACAGGGTGTCCTTAAAAAGTCTTAATTTGAGCTCCTCTGCATGAAAGTACACATTTATGATGTTACATATTCCTTAAATCTTCCACTGAACCAAATACTGTCTTTTAACTTTATACTTGCACTTACCTGTTGGCAAAATGTAGATTAACTCAACTCACTCTAATAACCATATTTCTACATATAACTTACTCCTGCATGGGACCACATGTATACTACTATTCTGGATGATTTGTCCAATAGTGTGTCTTAAATTTAGTTAAAATTTATCTTGAAAAGGTCTTGGTAAGCACTAAATTTAAAGTCAAGATTCAGTCAGATTTATTTATGGAGCGTATTTGAAAACTACAAATGTCTTCACAAAGAAATTAAAAAAACACAGGAACGATCAAATAAGAACAGTCATAAATAGGAGAATCTTAAGTAAAATTAATAAGAGCTTATAATATTTAGACAAAATCATAACACAAAAATAGCAGTGCACAAACAACCAAATAAAATACAGAAAAAATCTTAATCACATTTAAAAGGCTAAAGAAAAGAGATGGGTCATTAGATGCGTTTTAAATGTTTCAATAGAGGGGGACGATCAAACTGTAAGAGGGAGACTATTTCACAGTTTAGACCAACAACAGATAATGCCTGATCACCTTTAATTTTTTACTGGGACGTGGAATAGAGAGCTAGGGAAGGCAGAATTTTAAAATGCACCCTTCTCTCCTGAGCCCCTCCTACCAGACAACCACAGGCACATGCACACGCTTCATTACAGTCACCCAGTGTTTCCCATACATTGATTTATTTCATATTATTTCATTAAACGGTTGCCTGCAGCAAATTTATTCCACCTATCCTTGCCGTGTTCTCTCTCTGAATATCAGATCACAGATTAGACAACCAGCTAATGTTAGCCGACCCTTCGACCCTTCGTGTCGCTCCCTGCTGCTGTGGACTGCTTCCCTGGAAGAAGAGCAGGCAGCAGCCTGGAAAACTGACCTTCTGTTGGAGGCTGTGGCGGCTCAAGTCCAGCCAGCATAAACTCCCCAGCGCCGGGTGTCACAGTGGGTTGGGTGCCAGCAGTAGTGACGGGGCTAGAAGCTGGGGTTTCCGCTGGTTGGATTCGGGTTGCTGTGGCCGCTGACTGGGGGTCCATCTTTCAAGCTGCTGTCCACTCTCCTCTGAGCGAGGTGCTCTACGGCAGTGGGGAGTGAGACGGAGGACACACCGTGATTTGAGGCTCTAGCTAACGTCACCTACATAAACATGAACTTGAGGCCGCAGATGTGACCCTTTGGCTCCAGTTAACAGAAGGCTAAACTTTTAGCAACATTTTCTCTCCATCTCTGAAACTCTTCGCTGATATTGACACATGTTGTGTTTGGTTCATTGTCAGACTCTCTTGTAGAATCTGATAATAAGTCTGTCTTCCTGTTTTTGGATTTCTTTGTAGTGTAGACCGTTGTTGTCAGTGCTGGAATAGCAACTTTCTCTGCAGACTCCACTGCCACTGAATCAGGCATTTGTAGAACAGCTAATAGGAGCGCCCTCCCTCTGAAATGGCCTGTGATCGGCCAGAGTCTCCCATCACATGCTAGATTTTTTAAAGTCTAGTTTTCTCTCAGACTACTTGAATCACAATATGGTCAAAGTTTTTATGTCATTTTTGCTCAATAACGCCAAAATCAAACTGCCTACCCCAGCTTTAAGTGTCACCCTGATTTTAAAGCATAAAAAACAGTACAGTAAAATACAGATATGTCGTCAAAGTATCCTTAGCTGCAGTGCACTTATGACGGAGACGAGGAGGAGATCATGAGTCCGGACGTCACCCACATCGTTGCAGAGGTGGAGAACAGTGTCCACACACAGGTTAGTGAGAGATTTACATGCTGCCAAAACATTTAAGACCTTTACATCCAAAAGCAGGACAATAAGAGATGAGGAAAAGCATAATTTTCCTGTCTGATCTGTGTGAACCAGGAACTCCAGGATCTGGTGCGTCAGTACACTCAGGCTGTCCCCGTGCAGAAGGACTGGTTGGAGTCCTGCTTATCCAAACAACGAAAAGTCGACACTGCTCCGTTCCTCCATCTGCTCAGATAACACTGTGTTTCACTGTTTTTTTAATCTCTCTTTTTTTAAACTTTCCTTTTGGGTCGAGCTTGAATGGACTTGCTTGGAAATACTTAAAAATTATATCAGAGCAATTTGCACTCAGTGGCTTATAGTTAGTTTATTTTTATTTATGTGTCATGCAAAACATCTGGCCCAATCTACATACATCTTCTGGGAATATATAAATACACTACAGGAGAGATAAAGGAAAAATCCAAAGAGCAAATGTAATGCAATTAACTTGGGCTGGGCGATATGACCAAAAATTCATGTGTGTGTATTAACAGGCTGAACTATGATACACGATATATATCTCAGTATTTTCTACAAAATGGGCGACATGTCTTCAGTTGCAAGTCAAATCCACGTTTGAGATGTCAAAAGCACTTTTATGAAAACAGACGTGATCAAAATAAAAATGTAAAGACAGGGAATTTATTCCCCTGTTTGAAAATTATGAAAAACAATAAATAGCAGGGCTGTACGTTAACGTTTTTGCACACAACACTGGAGCTACAGGGGTTTAAAGGTTTGCAGCACAAGACACTAAACTATAACATGAGTATAAAAGTATCCAGTAGGCCTAAATCCATTGTAGTTTGGAACAATCAGAAATCTTTGTGGGCAGAGTTAAAACATTATTTTCCATCTGTTGGGCTTTTAAATTAATCTTTTTATTTTTATTTTGCACAGAGCATCAACAGAGAGGCCAAGGGAGGGAAGGAGCGAGAGACACTTTGTCCTCGTTATATACGTCCTATATATAAAATGTCTGTGCTGTCGATGCGTTTTTTTTTATTAACACCTCTGTCACCTGCATTCAGGCGTTGTCTCCGTATCACACATTAGACCACAACTACCAAGAAGAACAGCAATGCGCTTCGAGCCACCTCAATCTACATCTTGCCTTAAGATATATCAATATATCGTACGTAGTCATTACATCGCCCAGCCCTACAATTAACACATTATAAAGCAGGGTGAGAATTACAAGAGACCTCACGATATGATATTATCAAGATACTCCAGTCATGATACAATATCACTGCAATTTTTAACATTTTGAAATATGCTGAGTATTGCAGTAGCATATATTGTGATTTATTATCTTGTTCACCTACGCATTATATCCTCAAAACTTTGTCAGCAACTGTGTTATCTGATAAGATACAAGTTTTCTGTCTGTTCATTTCACGTCAGTCATTTTATCTGCTGCAAAAATGTTTCTAGAGGACTGAAAATGCACTTGATTTTATTGTATTAGTAGGCGGCTGAAAGTTGCAATATTAGTAATTTATGTAATAAAAAAAATCAATACTTGGTGACTGTGTATATTGATACAATATATATATATATATAATATTTTTTCACCCTCCACCTAATCAGTCCTTCTATTTTCATCCACTCATCCGGGGCCTAGTCGTGGGGGCAGCAGGCCAAGTAAAGCACTTTCCTCTGCAAAGCTTTCCAGCTCCTCCTGGAGGACCCCGAGATGTTCCACGCCAGACGGGGTATGTAATCCCTCCAGCATGTTCTGGGTCTGCCCCGGGGCCTCCTACCAGTGAGATGTGCCTGGAACACCTCTAACAGGAGGTGCCCAGGAGGATCCTGATCAGATGCCCGAACCACCTCAAGTGACCCCTTTTGACGCGAAGGAGCAGCAGCTCCGAGCTCCCTCTGGATGTCTGAGCTCCTCCCCCTAACTCTAAGGCTGAGCCCAGACACCTTTCAGAGGAAACCCATTTTGGCCACTTGTATCCACGATCTCATTCTCAGTCACTACCCAGAGCTCATGACCAGAGGTGAGGGCTGGGATGTAGATGGACCAGTATATCGGAAGCTTAGCCTTCTGGCTCAGCTCCCTCTTCACCATGACGGTCCAGCGCAGTGCCCCCATCACTGCAGGAGCCGCACCAAGCGCTCCATTCTACCCTCACTCGTAAACAAGACCCAGAGATACTTGAACTCCCTCACTTGAGGCAGTAACTTACCCCCAACTCAAAAGAACCGGTGGCACGGTGGTGCAGTGGTTAGCATTGTCGCCTCAGAGGGTTCCTGGTTTAAACCCAGGGTGGGGGAGCCCTTCTGTGCGGAGTTTGTATGTTCTTCCTGAGTCAACACAGGTTTTCTCCAGGTGCTTCAGCTTCCTCCCACAGTCCAAAGACATGCAGGTTAATTGGTGACTCTAAATTGTCCTTAGGTGTGAATGTGAGTGTGAATGGTTGTCTGTCTCTGTGTGTCAGCCCTGTGATAGTCTGGTGATCTGTCTACCCTGCATCCCAGAAATTAACTCTAAATAACTGCTATAAAACTATAGTTTATCCTGATACAGTCATCTCACAGGTATTCTCTGAGTAACCTGCTCATCTAAATGTTTCATATGTGAACAGGATCTTTGTGCATCATCTGGATTATCAAAATCGACAAATGTTTTTATCTTTCAAAACAAACTCCTGCACAGTTCCCAATAAAACAGGGCAAACAAAACTAATCGTACGAATCTGATTTTCTTCCACACTGGCAACACTTGTAGTTATAACACTTACAGGTACAACACCAGATCTGAGCTGGGCACACTTTACTTTCTATATAAATTAAATAATTCTTAGTGTCAAGTTCATGTTTCATCATCTTATATAAATGAAAGCAGTTTGGGTTTAATCCATATATCAACAGCTCATAGCTCTTTGAGTAAACACATATTCTCTGAACAAATAAATGTTGAGCTTTTATATTCATAAATGACACAAGGAGTCAATAAAGGAACTTCACAGTGTGGGAGGTTATTGACACTGGTGCTGCCTGGTTACAGTTGACTCAGTTAACTAATCAACCATAGCCATAAAAACCGTGTGTGTGTGTGTGTGTGTTTTACAGGGTAAAAGGTGGAGTCAGTCGTTGGGGCGGTGCTCAGCGGCAAACTAAAGAACAAAGTGCTCTGGTGCGCCAATAGTTTCTCATCTGTCTTGCGGAGACGACATCAAGGACCAATATACATTTATATTCACCTAAAAATCATTACTGCTTTTTTAAAAATTACTTTTTTTTTTAAAGGTAAATATTTGTCGGCATTTTTGTCGAGGCTGACTCACCTGAAGGAGGCTCGAGACTTTGCAGCAGTGACGGTAAGTTACGTCAACTAATTACACTTCACTTACAAAACATGTTACCTGTTTATTTACTTCGACATGTAGCAAGCACTTTATTTAAGGGTTTATATGTATTTCTAATGCCTTAAACTAAACATTAGGACACACATGTTTGTCATTGGGTCATAAGAACTTAATTTTAAGAAGTTTTGAGCCTTAAACTGAACACGTGAGCTGATGTGAAAGTGTCTATGTTATGGAAATATAGCTTATACTCCAGTTTACATAGATACCAGTAAAGTTGGCCTCAAAATGTATGACTGGGGGTGTATTGTCTTCACCTGTCTGCTAAATTGCATGAAGTCAGCACGGAATAAAAGGTAGACGGAGACATATCTGGGTCAGTCACAGTGGAAAGTGCAAACATTGTGTGTACGCGACCACAGAGGCTTTTAATGAGTGTATTTACAGTTACAGGAACTATCAGGGGTGTATGATGAACACACCTGCGTTTTTATTACCCGACAGTCATGTTAAGTAGCTTTGTTTTATACTGAGTTATATTTAAAGAAGGGAAATTAATATATGTGGCTCTGAAAATAACTTTCTGTCAAAACTGGCATGTGTGAAGTGATGTAATCACTACAGGAAAGCAAGGTCACATGGTTTTAAACACTGTTTGTGGGAAGTGTGTGTATATTATTATAAGTGATGCCTTGAAAAGTCCAGTGGGGGTATGGCTGTGACTTATCTTTCATCATTACTAAGAAATCCAGACACAAATGTTTATCTTTTGGAATTTTTGTGGTTTGATTTTCCATCTGAGCCTTGTTTCTGTCTGTGAGAAGCATTTTTTTTTTTTTTTTAAATTTCCACGTGTATGTTGATATGTCTCCTGAGTATTTAACCACCAAACATTTAGAGAAAAGTCCCCTGTGTGGGAGACACTTTAAATGTTGCTCTCATGCGAATGCAAAGCAGCAGCAGCAGAAGCGTGGGCTATTAGAGCTCCACTTAACTCTATTTGTTGATATACAAAAATGAAGCTGTTGTACTTTAAGACATTTTTCGCCTGTCCAGTTTTAATTGTTTTAAATGTGTTCGACAGAATTTCAGGTGCATCTTAAACTGGACACACATGGATGTCAGCAGGAGGCCCAATGATGCTCCCCACTTCAGTGTTTGCGGCGTCAGCACCCAATAGGTGACAAGAGATAACATTGTCATGAAAAGCAGCATGCTCCCACAAGTGTTTTAATTGTTCTGTTTATATGCAAATGTTTTAATACGAATGTTTTCATCAACCAGCCGCAGTAGATCTCTCACCTTGATAAGATATAATGAAAAGACAGTAACTGTTACACACCACAGAATGCAATAAGAGTGAAACAGCGGTTCCAAGAACATTGTGTCATTATTACCCTCACTCTGTTATTTAATTTGATCTATTATTTATTTTTATTATTATCATTATAACATTTCCTCCAATGGACGACAATATATGATCCATTATTTATTCATTTATTTTGGATCAAGTCTTTTTTACATATTTTTCTTAATTTAATTTACTCAATAACTTAATTTTACATAATTTTATTTCACTGTCTCCATCATAGACCTTATAATAAAGATGTATGACTCATCTCCACGTCCTCCCAGGGGACAAAAATGAAGCCAAAATATCCCGAGTATGGCTCCTGCAGTCTTGCGCTGGTGACGTCATTTGGAGCCAAAGTCTGTGCAGTAGTAACCTCCGTGGTATCGAGTTCCCGCCCATACATCCATCAAACCAATCGCAAGCAGAGCTGTTAATCGCAGGCACACTGATTGGCTCACACAGATGTCAATCATGATGTCAACCCCCCCCCCCCCTTCATTTTATTTATTTAGTTAGTTATTTTTAGCTTTGACAGTCTAAGCGTGAAAGGGGAGATGGCATGCAGCCAAGGGCCTCAGGCTTTAATCGAATCTCCGCTGGAAGGACGTTGTCTTTGCATATGTGACACCTGCTCTACGCGCTAAGCCACCAGGAGCCCCAAACTCTCTTTTTATAGCTTCAAATAACTAATTAAAACCAAAAATATCAGAAAAATAAACATGGGATTATAAACTCCCTGAAATGACAAGAAACACCTTTAGACACTCTTTAGTTTGGTCCATGTCCCATGGGCTAATGCTGTGATCCATTTACGTTGCTACGAGTGATGAGACTCAAGAAGATGTCGTAAAATGTCGTAACTTCCTGTTTAAATTGGCGGTACGTGTCCTCGTTTGCATTTGTACCATTTACGACCTAAACGTAAACAAAGATGGATGCCTCCAAGAAAGCAGTCGTCGCTATTGCAGTAGCGGAGCCTTTATTATTAGCAACACTGCTAGCTACTTTCACCAACACCAATGAATAAACAACACATACACGACATTCCAGGCACAACAACACATCGTAAAGCATTCCCATAAGGCATTATAATGTGTACGAGTAATTTAAATGAAGTCTCAAATTTGCTAAACAGTAAAAATAATAGTAAAGAGCAGAGCCACTTATGGTAAATATAGGGCGCAGCCATCTTTGCTTTTGTCAGTTTTCCGTTGTCCGCTGAGTTGGTACGAGACCGCTACTGGTAGAACCGCCTCAAAGAGGCGTGTCATGTTGTGTCGCTGTGTAATTTTGTGCAGCTTCCTGTCTTTCCTACCGTCTTACTAGCGGTAAGATCTATATGGAACGGGTCATAACATGAAGGGGGCGGGGTCTATGATCTGTACTGCAGCCAGCCACCAGGGGGCGATCGAGATGTTTTGGCTTCACTTTTGGGGAGCTGTCATGTCGTCTATCTTTATTATACAGTCGCAGTCCAAATTCTGAATGTACTGCAGCTGACTTGCAAACATGTCACGTTTGTAAAAAAACAAACTTCATTTTTAAGTACAGTGAATTTCTGGCACAGAGCTTTTATTTTGAAGTGCTGTTTCCTGCCGTAGAGTGAGTCACTAATGGGTAGCTACTTAACAGGAGCAGCAAAATAACTCGACAACATGGCCCACCTCAAGTATGACGCTGAATGTGTTAAACTGTGTGGACCTTAGACTAATGACTAAGGAGAAATCTGTGGCTGGTCCAGTTGGGAACCATTGATCTATACTCTTCATGTTTAGAGTTATTTAACTATGTATATTTACTTGTCCGAAAACGAGCATTAAAACAAAGACACTGAAGTACTGACTCATGGATGAAAATTCCACTCTAAAGATAAATAATGTTTCTCGCTCACAGTCACGTCAGCCAGTTGAGCAGATACTTGAACAGCCACCACAACACGCCTGAAGAGGACGATGAGACCATGAGCACAGAGGAGCGAGAAGCCAGCACACTCCACAAACCAGACTCCACCCCTAACCCTGATGGCCACCACCGCCCTCCAGAGCACGCTGTCTTCTCTGACCACTCCCTGTTCAGCACACAGAGGCTGGGCAGAGAGCAGGAACACAAACACACTCTCCCTCACCCTGGCTTGAGCTACGGACTCTACCAGCCTCCCCGCAGCTTACCTGCCGGGTACAGCCAGCCCACTCCGTTCCCCAGCCAGGCCGATGGCACATGGCTCCACCCGAGCTTCGCCAGCAGCTGGACGGGGTATCCCAACAGCCTGCCGTCCTCTCTAACCCAGAAGGACTGCTCCAGCTGTTCTGACGATAGCTGCCTCTCAGGGTACAAGTTCTTGTCCCTCCCTGGCCAGCACAGCACCAGTATGAGCACCTTAGAGCAGCCGCTGTCTCTCTGCTCCAACCTGCCTTCAGGCAACTTGTGCCACCATACATTGTCTCCGTACTCGTGTTCGCCCCAGGGAGCCGCCTGCTGCGCACAGTGCCCTGCGGATGCCTTCAACAGGGGGCCTGTGGCCAACAAACCTCCCTGGCCTCAGTACCACCCAGCGTACGGCCCGTACTGTAAGTCAGCTACTCTTTTTATTTGACTTATTGGGGGAGACAAATGCACATGTTCTAGGTAATCTGTAATCTACACCTATGCACACACACATGCTGTATGGAAGTGAGAAAACAATGACACGAGCAGTAAATCATTGTTGTGTTCATCCTGCTGCAGTATCATTAGCAGGAAGCCTTTAAGGGATTCTTTTCTTTACTCTTTAGATCCAGGCGCCTGCAGACTTCCTGGAGCTGGATACACACACATGTGAGTTTTTATTATGATCCTGCATCACAGTAGACATATTAAAGCAGCTCCACTCACATTGCATGTTCTAACTTATCTTTTAACTCCATGCAGCAGCCGCAACGTGCCAGCTAAAGAGAAGCAGCCCCCTCAGAGCACCTCGCTCTCTCTGGAGCAGAGTAAGTGTCGAGCTGACGGCCCACAGATAAGCAGATTATTTACCGAGCTGCTGCTCCTTTCATTATTTAATCATTGCTCTTGAATACAGGGAAGGTGTTTGTGACTTATGAAGCGGACAACGACAAGCACGTCAATGAGATCATCAACTTTGTTGCTCTGCTGCGACACAATGGCTTTGACACGCATGTATGTATGAAGGTTTTCCTTTTATGTTTTCTCACAGGAGCTGTTGAGTAGGTGTTTGTAAGAGAGTAAACCTTCTGACTGATGTCTTTATGTGTTTCAGATTGATATTTTTGAGCAGCAGTTCAGGAGCATAAGCAAGATAGACTTCATGGAGCGGTACCTCAGTGAGGTAAAAAAAAGAAGCCCTTTTTATATGATAATCTGGCCGACTGGGGAAGTTGTTGCATCATCTTGAGCTCTTTTTCTTCCTGCAGGAGTGAACATGTTTTATCAAGCAGTTTAATAGCACAACTATGACAGCATCTCACAGACAAGTTGAGCGTTAAACAAGCAGTGACAGTTCTGTTGTCCCCTCAGAAAGAGTACCTGATCATCATCATCATCAGTCCCAAGTACTACGAGACAGTGACGGCCTCTCCTGTCGGCCTGGAGAACGACGAGAGGACCTTCAACACTGTTTACATACACAAACAGGTTCACAGCTACTCCTCAGTCCCAACGAAGAAGTATTCACTTTATAATCTTCTTTTGTTTATAACGTTATCTTAATTTCTGTGTCCCATTTAGCTCCAGAATGAGTTCATCCAGAATGGAAGCAAGAATTTCAGGTTTATTCCCATTGTGTTCCCCGGGGCTAAAAAGGTGAGTTTTAATTTCCATAACAGGAAACAGAGCGTAAACTCAAATGCCTCTGCGAATCATGTGATTCTCTGGGCTTGTACAGTACATATGTACAATGTCACATTACATCTGTTAGGTATACACAGAGCAACTAAACACTTTGCATTTTTATCTGTGTTTGAATTGAACCCCAAAACCTTCACCGTCTGACTGGACTTTCTTCGCTCTGTGTGTTTTTACGATGACAGTGTCACGTCCCGAACTGGCTCCAAAACACGCACGTTTATGAATGGCCGCTCCATCGGGATGACATCCTGCGGCGGCTGATGAGGGTGGAGAAGTACAATCCACCTCCTATTGGGGAACTACCGACCATCGTTTCCATCCCCATATAGAGACCGTCGACCTGAAGACTCAGACTGGACTGAAATCTTTGAAAGAAACTTGCTTTTTGGAGAACTGCTGGTCATTCTTGAGGTGAACGGGGAAACACGAGCAGGATATTTTTATTTTACTTAATTGTATGTGTGATGTTAAAGGAATACTTCACCCCTCATTTGTATATCAGTTAGTCACCCTGTGTTGTGTTGAATGCGTGAAGAAAACTTTGTTTTGCTTGCATACCTCCACAGTAGGTCTGCACCCCCAGACTAAGAATTTTCTTAGTCAACCAGCAGTCGTCATTTAGGTCCATTAGTCGACTAGTCGCCTGCATGTTTACGATAATAATGTAATTATTAAATGATATATTTTGGTGGTTTGAGTTGAAGGTGTGAGAAAGAATAGTATCAGTAACATTGTTAACACTGTGCTACATTACAGAGAAATACAAAACCGTACTAATGAACCTTCATTAATATAGGCCTATATTTTATCTACAAGTGCACGTCACACACTGAGCGAGCCGCCTGTTAATGACGCTGTGGGCTAATGGGCATGTAGCTACTTCCATGTTTCAGATGATACGTCATGTTTGTAGTCGACCAGTGAAGATGAGTTTACATATCACCTTGGGTTCGTCCTTCACCTTCTCAAAATGATCCCACACTTTGGATTTCCTGCCCGACATGTTATTAACTAGCCTGTGGAATAACCGCAGGTACCAGCCCTGGAAATTAACCTGACTCCTGTCTGACTGCTGAGCGTGGACACTTCCTGTGTCTGTCCTTTCAAATTAAATTCCCACATAGTCCAGCCATATAGGTTTGGATTTATTTTGACAAGGTGCAGCTCCTGATAGTTTCACGTTTGCTTTTTTTTTTTAATTTTTATTTTTTTACTGCGAATAAGTGACCAATGAAATCTTGCCGACTAATGACCTTTCTGGTCGACCAACGTTTGGTCGACTATTAGGGGGCAGCCCTACTCCACAGTGAACGAAAAATCCAAAAACGGTGAAAAATTTTGATAGAAAGATAGATGGAAAAAACTTTATTCATCCCCGAAGAGAAATTTCATAGTCATCACAGCGACACGACACAAATACATTAAAACACAGTAAAAACACAACAGCTGCAGACACAGGAGGCTTTGGTGACTAAAAGGAGGTAATTAAATAGACGAATAAATATATGTGCGTGTCAAGTCAGTTAAATGAACCAGTTCTAGCAAAGGCAAATTAATTTTAGAATTTATTGCACTTGGCAGGAATGATCACCTGTGCCGCTCCCTCAGACAGCGAGGTTGGATCGGTCTGTAGCTCTGACTCAGGGAGCTCCTGAGCCTGGTCGGCTTGTCATGGAGGAAGTGCAGTTTTGACCGCTGTCTCTCCACCACCAGCTCCTCTAATGTGTCCAGCTTTGAGCCAATGATATTCCCAGCATGGAAGATGACACGTGCAAGAACAGACTAAACATTTGTAGCATCTTATTACAGACATTTAAAGACTTGAGCCTTCTCAGAAAATAGAGCTCATGCCCTTCTTGTAGATGGCCTCTGTGTTGGTGGATCAGTCCTGCTGGTCATTCAGATGAACTAGGAGGTACCTGTAGGTGTTGACAGATTCCATATCGCTGCCACTGATGCAGACTGGCGCAGGTGGGCTCTTTTTCTTCCTAAAGTCCACCACAGTCTCCTTGGTCTTGGCCACGTTCGGTGAAGTAATAGGAGACTGGGTTAAACAACACCAAAACGGTCTCATTTATCCAGTCGTGTGCTCAGTACTTCCCAAACAGAGAGTCCTTTCCAACAGGGAATTAAACTAAAAGTGTCATTTGTGCTTTCTTGTACCATTCAAATGGACCTGCACTTGTATAGCGTCACTGAACGCTTTTTACACTTCGAGTCACAGTCCCCCATTCACACACTGCTGGCCGCACCATTAAAGCAGTGGTAGACCAGCAGCTCCTGTGTTCAGTGAGGTGAAATTACCATTTTTGTCAATGGAGTCTGGCTTTGACGAGAGCATAGATAAGTTTCACTTTTAGTTAAGTTCCACGTCGCAAAGGCCTGACTGTTTGGAAAGTCCTGAGCATACGACTGGATAAATGTGACTCAGATTACGAGCTGCACGAGCTGTGTGAGATTGATTGACTGATTTCACTTTGTTGTCAAATTTTCTTTTTTAAATTTGTCTTCAAAAAGTAGATCTACAAATGTGATCTACTGTAAAACTTCACTTAGTTCTTAAATCACTGAACTCAACAGGCTTATGTTTGGGACAGGCCTTTAAAGCCTTTTACACCAAACTGTTGCTCAGCAAAGATGGAAAATTAGATAAATATGTCTGATTAACTTTCACTATCTGTACTCTGTAAGACAAGAATAGTACCGCTGACTCAGATGAGGATTAAGTTTGTAAATGAATGTTTCGATGTAGTTTTGCTTTTGCTAAAATTCGGCCCCATGACTCTCACCGTTTGTCTGTTTATGAATTTACCACACAGGCCTGCGAGAAAACCAAAGGTTTCTTCATGAGCTCAGTGCAACAGAGGGCAAATAACTGATATATAAATGATCATACAGGGCGTGATGTGTTCCTTTAAGGGTGCTGCGTGAACTTCTGTCCTAGGATGTGTTGCGTAAGTGTAATAAGTGCCTTTAAATTCCACGACTCACATAAAAGTGCCAGTTTGGATGTGAGATGAGACACGTTTTGCTCTCTGCATCAGGTCAGTGTGCACTGTGCTGCATGTTTCAACCTTCGATGTTTACTGGTGCTACTCCAAGTTAATTACTTTTACAGCCTGACGAGTACAATGTTTATTCTTTGAAAACATAATTTAAAAGCCAGGGTTCATAAAATGTGGACACGTATGAATGTAAGTGAGATGTTTTTCATATTTAATTGGGACTCACGTGTGCACGTGGACTGTAATTAAACAGATGACATATGATGAATGGTGTAATGACTGTTTGTGGAGCTGTCATTTATGAGAAGTAAACACCGACAGCGGTTCACGCTGCCTCAGCCGTGTTATCTTTCTTATTTCCGGGACCATTTAATGCAAACAGCGGCCCAGCTGCATGGACTTGCTGTTTTATTTTGAAGTGTAGAAAAACAGATGATGCTTTATAAAAAACTTTTGTTTTTTATGACACTTTGAAGTTGTATCAAAACTTTCCTTTTCATTCATCAGAATTATACATTTATATATTAAATTATGGACAAAATAATTAAAGTATGTTGGGGTTTTTTTTTTTAATGTACTGATAAGAAGTCGTCTTCACTGGTAAACAGGGTGCTGACTTCCTGATTGCTTAGAAGGCCACATCGTTCTGGTTAACCACAAGAGCAGCTGCGATGTCACTGGCAGATTACCTGATGTCAGTTTTTTTTCAAGTTGATTTTTACAGTGAGCTGAAACTAATTTAATCTCTGAAACCAACATAGAGCGGCAGGAAATTACATGAATCATACATTATTTGTAAAAAGAAATAACAACATGGTTGCACTGGAACCATTCTTGGTGGATTAGCTGTAAAACAAACGTCAAAAGTAATTTGTAATAATAAGACCGTAGGGCTGTAGAGTGCATTTACAGGTGTTTACAGGTGATAGTGTGTAGAAAAAACAAACTTGTCCCCATGCTGACGGTCTCCTCTGCAACGCACATAAATCAGTGTTTGTGAAGCAAATATGACAGTTAACCACAGACAAGCAGAGGCCTGGGACTGGTTTTGCCTGCAGGGCTTTGTGGGTATTTTTCTGAAATGGCGAGCTGCATTTTTCTGTTTGAGAATGACACAGGAGAACGTGGAGGTTTAGGTATGCATTGATGTGAACAACAGATCTGCCAACACGCTCGTTGTGTTGACGGTTTGTGCCACTTGTCTTGCTGCACTCAGGAGCAGTGATGGAATGTAAACTAAGTACTTGTACTCAAATACTGTACTTAAGGACAAATTCGAGGTACTTGTACATTACTTGAGTATTTCCATGTTATGCAACTTTATATTTCTACTCCACTACATCTAAGAGCAAAATTCTGTACTTTTTACTGCAGTACAGTTTTAGTTACTTTTCAGATCACAGTTTTTCATCTCCTTCCTGTCAAGTTTACTTGTAGTGGAGTATTTTCATGGTATTGTAGTTGTACTTTTACTTTTTTTAACTAGTTAAAAGTTCAATTTAAGATATCTGTGAAACAGTTTTGACGCGTTACAAATATTCTTACAGGTGGAAAAGAAATTAACTGATATCTATAATTAAATTAAATCAGTTTTGACTTGTCAAAATGTGATTTATACATGTGAAAATATCACTATTATAGATATTAACAGTTGCATCTCCAATATGTTCCACATTATCAACAAGCGTCTCATTATTAAAGTCGTAGATCTCATTCATTAGAATTGCAACTAGTCAAAATTAAATTATGGATATGTCGACTTGGGTTTATAACACGTCAAAACTGAAAGTTTTGACATCTGTAATTGATTTTGAATAGAAGTCAATGGTACAAGTTGACTAGTTGTAATTAAATTACAGATAACTTAAAGTGAACATTTTCTCTAGTACGAAATTCATTTTGTTTGTTTTTTTAAGATGATTATTTTAGGCAGTTTGCCTTGAATTGTTATTACATCTGGAGATGGACAGAAAAGCCAGGAGAGAGAGGGGGGATGACACGCAGCAAAGGGCGGCAGGCTGGAATCAAACCCGCACACTCTACCAGGTGAACCAGAGGTTGCCCCAGTAAGAAATTAATTGTCGATATCAAGAATTGACATCAACAATTATTAGTTATGTTAGCTTGGGATTATAACACGTTAAAACTGAATTACAAATAGCTGTAATTAAGTTTGTATAGAAGTCAAGAGTGAAAGTTGACTAGTTGTAATCAAGTTGCAGATATCTACAGTTAACATTTCCACTATTAAGACGTTAATCGTTGGTATCAATAATTAACATTTTGACTAGTGAGAAATTAATTGTAGACATCTTTTGCTAAAATTGCTGCTGGTCCAAATTACATATAGATATGTTAGCTTGGAGTTAGTCAGAATTAAATTATGGATACCTGTACTTAAGTTTGAATAGAAATCAATGGTAAAAATGGAAAAAATTTGTTGTAATTACATTACAGATATCTACAATTAACATTACCACTAGCAAAAAAATAATTGTTGAAATCAAGAAATAACATTCTGACTAGTGAGAACTGAATTGTAGACATCTTTAATCAGAATTGCTACTTGTCAGTACCTAATTTTAGATATCTAGTGTACCGTTTGATCAGTAATATAGGAACAATTGTAGATATCTACAATGAACTTGTTGATTGAAACTGTTGATCAATAATTACAATTGCAACTTGTTAAAATTACGTTCTGA